TCCACTTTTTATTCTACAGTAAATTGTATCATGATGTTCTCCAAACATTTTGTCAACTGTATCTAATAAAGTTGTACTTTATCTACTCAGGATGATGATTATATCCAGCTGGCAATAATGCACTATTACATCAAGTTTGGCTCCGAGTATAGCGTTGAGAACGTCACCAAAGTGGTTAATGAGTGCATCACCACCCAGCTTATTGAAAGCAAGTCTAGAACAACATGGACCCAGTTCATCAGCTCAGCACACAAAGAGGTAAATCAGTCTATGTTATGTATGGTCAGCATGTATTGTTTTAAAACATAACGCCTCATAAAGGCAACCTCACAATCGTCGTTACCTCATGTAGGGTCCTTATGTCAGTGGGAGGCAAAACTCGGATGAGGTAAAAGGAGAACTGGTGGACATCGCACGCAAGAAGTGGGCAATCCACTTTTCAAAGTTTTTTGAAGTCACAATGATGTCAGGTGAGTCTGCGCACAGCTTATTTCACACAGAGGCTGGGATATACAATCCTTTTACAAGTGAATGTTGCCCGTGTAACACATTTGTATTGCAAACTTTACTTTTGCTAACTAGCATTTATGAATTCCAATTCACTACTTAAAATCTGCAACACCATATCTGTCCACAGGACCACCTTTGCCCAAAAGCAGATTTATTGTGGCTGTAAACTGGACTGGCATCTTCTTCATGGACGATAGAAATAGGCAACTTCATGAAATTCCTTACATAGCAGTTAAGAAAGTCCAGGAGAAGAGGTACGGTCTCACATTTTTATGTCTGTGTGTATGTAAATTTGCTCTATTTACTTTCTTAAAAAGCTTTTTAAATTGTGCCTTTAAAAGAATCTAATAAAACTGACACTGATGATTATGACCCATTTAGTGACAGTGCCCAGACCATTAGCTTGAGCACGATCACAGGAGAGTATGTCCTGAAGTCTCCTGAAGCTGACAAAATTGTAACACTGATAGAGAACAATGTGGAAGGGCTGAGACAGCGCTCAGTGTTTGCAACCGCTCAGCAGGACTCTAGCAAATCAGGTAAGAGTCTACAGGATGTTCAGTATCCATAAATACAGTCACGCACACCAAAACACTCACGTCTGTCTGTCTGTCTGTCTCTGTACGCTTCTGCAGATGACCCGCTGTTTCTGGTTTGTAAGCGAGGTGACCTCCTGCAAGTAGACAAAGAAAAAAGTGCCCCTAATGAGAGCTGTTTCATCGCCACCAACAAGCGCACTGGCAGCTCTGGTGCAGTCTATAAGAAAATATTGCTGTTCCTGCCAACTGTTACCGAGCCCACTAGTGAAATGCTGGTAAAGTTGACTTTACCTTACATGTTGAGTAGTTACGACTAGTTTATCAGAGCTCAGGTCTAGGCAAATCACTGATTTCATTTTTTAATGGTGTTTTAATGGTAAAGACTTTACTAAAGAACAGAAAATCTTTACAGACATGAAGATTTTTCATTGTGCGCTTCTAAGTCTATGCAGTGAGAGATGCACAAGTTCTGTTAGTTCACATCACATAACACCCTCTTGTAGTTTAACTGGCAAATTGCTTCTGACCCTTCAGGAACAACTCAATCCAAAGCAGGATAAGAGGAAAGTTTCACTAGCTCTTAACCCCGTTCAAGGAGAAGAAACAGTGGCCCCTGTCTCTTTGAAAGAGTTTGCCCTTGAGAATTTCAGGTAATACTGAGGCTCTTGTATTTTTAGCTAAACGCCGCTTCTCAAAAATGTGGCATTCATGTTTGACTCTTCATTTGGCAAATCGAACAGCACTCGTGCAGACGATATTTAAGCTCTTTGTCCCTCGCAGATCTGTGAGTGGCGGTCGGCAAGGACACAAAGGAGGCAGCAGGGAGAAACTGTGGATCGTTTCCAGAGAGCCTCTCAAGCAACCACTCCTCAAGGTGCTGGTCAACAACTCTGAGCTCAGCAACCTGGCCTGCAGTGCCTTCACTGATATCCTTTAAAAAAAACACATGAACTGGTACCTGCATTTAAGGATTGCTGAGATGTTTTCTTATGACTAAACCACAGTTAAACTAGCATCCATACTGTTGGTTCACATAGGCAGATATTTGAAAGTATGGTACCAAATTCTTCAGCAGTTTGTCTGTAATCTGAAGAGGAAGGAGCCATGTCTAATTTTAATGTCGTTTGAGTGAGTCCTTAACGTTAGCCTCTACCCATCCTGAAGTACATGGGCGACTACCCCATCAAACATGTCCGCAGTCCCGTAGAGTTGACCGACCAGATCTTTGGTCCAGCCACAAAGCATGAAGAACTGCGCGATGAAATTTACTGCCAGATCATGAGACAGATGACCACCAACAGCAACAGGTTCTCCAGTGTTCTTCACTGTGTCAGAAAGACACCAAAACAATAATCACAAAAAATCCATTTCCATCATATCGTTTTCTCTTTCTTCCCCTCACTTCAGTTTGAGTATAGAGCGTGGGTGGCAGCTGATGTGGCTGTGTTCAGGCTTGTTCCCGCCCAGCTGGGATTTATTGAAACACACACGGTGCTTCCTGGAGTCGCGGCCCAGATACCCACTGGCTGCTCTTTGCCTGGAGAGGCTGCAGGAGATCTGCAGGTCAGCCTGGCGATACGAACACTATTTAGAAACAAAAATCCTGAGAAGATTAGAAATACTGATTATTTTGATACTTCAAAATGTGGTTGTCCATATTTTAGAAATAACATTGCTTTAAAACTGGTATTAAATTGTGATGAAAATCTAACTGACAGAATCTACTCTCTGGTAAATGCTGGCCCCCAAAATTACCACAATGCACTGATTTGTCAGACGCACACTTTAGAAACCACAAAAAAGTTTATCAGCCAAGTTTAATTTTTTTTTTTAAACATGTCCACAAGATAACACCGGTATTGTAACTTAGTGATCTGAAATTCCACATAAGTATTTTTTTGTGTGTGTAACTTCATTTGTTTTGTATACTCAGTAAGAAGCCCAGGAATCTTCCTCCCCATTTTATAGAAGTGGACGCTATCCAACAGAACAGCCCTAAGATCTTCCAGAAAGTCCACTTCCCAGATGAATCAACTGATGTAAGAACCTGCATTCAATCAATTTTTGGATTTAATGTTAATTTTAAAAAATGCAATCATTTGCACAACTCATAAATCCCAATTTTATTCACAATAGAACATGAAATCATGTTGAATGTTTAAACTTGAATGTTTACCCCTTTGACGCATAGTGGTCACTACAGTGGACAGCTATCCAAATGCTGTTTTCTTGAGTTTGTGTCAGTGTTGACGTTATACTTGCACATAAACCACTACATTGGACACTGATGTGTCCATACCCTGCCACCCACTGGTCGTTTAATATTACTATAGATGTATGACGTGTTTCATTGTAATTATTGTTATTTAACCCTTTCATGCATGAATTATGACAACCTTGAGCAGGATTTTTTTCTTAAGTATTGTTATTCATCTTTTCAAGCCTAAAGATGAATAAAAAATCCTGATCAAGGTTGTCATAATTCTGCATGAAAGGGTTAAATTTTGCTATTTGATGAAATATATTCACTCATTTTAATTTGGATTGAAGCAACATAGCTCAAAAAAAGGCTGGAAAACCTAAAAAAAAACCTTTGTGGGAATATTATTGCACTGTTTAGGTTATGTGGCAACAGATCAATAACATGACTGGGTATAACAAGAACATCTTAGAGGGGCGGAGCTTCTCAAAAGTAAAGCTGAGAGGTTCACCATCTGCAAAAAATTGCATTTACAAATTGTGGGAAATTTTCAGAATATTATTCCTGAATGTAAAACTGGGAAGACCAAATATCCCATGTTCCAGATATGCTGCATTCTTTTCTTTGGGCTAAAGCTCTCTTAAAATGGACTAAGACAAAAAAAAAAAAGCCTGGATCTCTGATGGTAGCTTGCATATCTGAAAAGAAATGACCAATGCAGGTTTTAGAGCAACATATGCTCCCATCCAGATGACGTGTCGTCCAAGGAAGTCTGTGCATATTTCGGCAAAACAATTTAAAATTGCATACTGAAGCTTTTACAACAGGATTGCTTAGTAGTAGAGGAGTCCAGGTGCTGAACTACCTGAAGTCCAGACCTTTTACAAATTAAAAACATTTGGCTCATCAATGCTGTGACACATTTAACATAGTGTCACAGCATTTTACGTAGTGTCACAGGTTTCTTGGCATTGGAGTTGTATTAACCGTAAGAGAGAGATTAAGAATCAGTTTTGCCATTAAATGTCGATTTAATGTTATCATGATTTCTTGTCCTTGCTGTGGCGCAGATAGTCGAGGTGACATCAACAACCACAATTGGAGACATGCGCATCAGCATCGCCTCTCAGCTCATTCTGAACTCACCTGAAGGATACGGCCTGTACCTGAAAACGCTAACCAAGGTGGTGTTGCCTAACACTGTCAGTTCAGTGTTTTCGATCAGACATCAGCTTGTACAGTGATCTGACAGAAAAGACAAAAATGCTATGCACAATATCACAATACAGTCCATACGTAACGAATACATCTTTTTCCTTTATGTGACGAAGCGTTTTTGGTTTCAATTCTTAGACGGTGAGCATGGAAGAGGATAAATATTTCTTTGACAGTCTAAAGATAACCTCAGACGTCCCCAAAAAAAAGAAAAAGGGGAAAGAAGGTAATGGAGTAAACCAACTGCCGTCACTTTTTTATGCATGTCTTTGCCTTGACAGATCTAATCAAAATAAATCTCACTTTTTTTAGTCACTCAGACCAATTTACCTTCCTTGGTACTCTTTAAGAGGAAGCTCTGGTTCAATGTGAACCCGGGGAAAGATGTGAAAGCAGATCTCACTTTCCATTTTCCACAGGTATCTATATTACAACCACTCTCTTTATTCACTGAGATTCTTTTCATGTTTAAGATGAATAATTGCCACGATATCTTACCTCGAATTTGCTTCTTTGCAGGAACGATCGAGGTACCTGCGGGGATACCACGACTGCACCAAAGAAGACATGATTACCCTGGGTGGGCTCCTATTCAGAGTTAAAGTAGAGTCAGACATGTCACAGTTCGTCATGATCCCCAAAATGCTGAAGGACCTGGTTCCTGCTGACCAGCAAAAAATCATGTCCCCGGATGAATGGAAGAAGGTAAAGAACAAATTGTACAGAAGCACCCCCCAAATGGTCTACTTCGTGTCTCAGAAGATGGGATTGGAGCTCCGGTGTAAGGCTATTTTATGCTTTATCGTTTTTCTTGCAGCACATCATCTCCTCATACAAGCAGCAGAGTGGCATCACAGTGGACGAAGCCAAAATCGACTTCCTAAAAATCATTTCAAGTTGGCCAACCTTTGGCTGTACCTTCTTTGAAGTTAAAGTGAGTTAGCTGGAGTAAGTGACAGACACACTGGCCCGCAAGAATTTGAGGAAACTGATGTTACGTTGTTTCATTTGCAGCAAACATGTGAATCTAGCTACCCAGCTACACTTCTGATCGGCATCAATAAGCAAGGGGTTTGCTTAATAGACCCAGAAACAAAGGTATGTTCAATAAAAAGCACAATATATTTCTATTTTTACAGTAGCCTAAGGTCATTTGTGCTCATTTGCAAATAACATTGCATTACTTGAAACTCTTTTAGGACACACTGATAATGCACGAGTTCAGCCGCATCACAGAATATTTCAGCAAAGGCAACTCCTTCCAGATGACCATCGGCACCATGTTCAGGGGCGTCACCTTTGTCTGTGAAACCCCACATGTGAGTGACAAGCTTTGAATGTATTTTGATGCATGACAAAACACAGAATTTCCTTTAGAACGAATGCCAATAAATGTTAAGGAGAATAAAATATGACGTGAAAGATTTGCACAAAAAGAATCATTCTTTTCTTTTTCAGGCCCACACGATCGAAGACCTCCTCAGATCCTACGTCAGCATGTATGAAAAGGCAAGGCAGGCCCCCCTTAATCACAGGAAGAGCATATTTTCTTAAGGTTTCACTGGCGAAAGTATAGACTTAACCTTTGTGGATTATATGTACGCCTGCCAAATGTCTCTATAGGAATGTATTTGTATCCTTAAAAATACAAACTCATCAATTTGTACATTTAGATTTTAGCATTTACAATTCTTTCTAATGAACAAGCATTCAAACTGTAATATTTCCGTTGTTATTGCCTTAAATGCAGTAAAATTCTGTTTTCTGAAGAAACGGTTGCATGTCCACGACTTCCTCTGACCTTTATGTAACTGTCACGGCATTAAACTATTACGTCCAACTGTGTCCTTATTCCTACAATGATTAACATTTAACACAATTCACAAAACACTGATTACATTTCCCTGCTGCTTCTTATGTCTTGCATTTTAAAACCCAGCTTCTTTTTTTTTTTTAGCGCACATTCCCATCAGTTTCAAAATTAAACATTTTTAAAAACCCACTTTTCACCAAGAAATATGTGCACTTAGATTAAAACGCAGCTCCCTTTTCACAAACAGGAACCCTTGTGCATGGAATTATTTTCCATTTTCATTAACACATTTAGAATATGTGAAATTCATGTTAACAAACTGTTAATCTTCACATGCTTTGTAGTGTTTTATGCAACAAATCAGAACATTATAATAAGCTTGTGGCCTAAAATAGACCAGATTGTTGTTAAGGGAGTAAAAACTAACTGATTAACTATTCTTTACTGATCAAGACATTCAGTCCTTGCTAGGTCTTAAAGTTAGGTCAGTATGGTTAGGTAATAATGACATATTATACTGTGTCATTATTATTACTATTATTATTTAACAAAAAGCTAAATTTCAGTAACTTGTAGAACAACACTACCTATAACTTAATAACCCAAAGTAATCGTATTCCATATTATTTTATCAGTTTTTCACATCACTGTAGAGGAACTTTGCTTCACTCTTTTTTAAAGCATTACTTCAGCTCAGTAAAGTTTTCAAGCAGTCATTTATGCACACCTCAGAGTCCCGCCACAACATTTCAATCAGGCTGAGGTCTGCACTTGGACTGGGCCATTGCTACACCTTAATTCTTTTCTTCGGTGGTTCTGTGGTAGATTTGCTGCTATACTTGGGATCATTGTCCTGCTGCGTGACCCAGTTTTGGCTAAGTTTTCGATGTCGGACATAAGGCCACACATCTGACTCTAGAATACTTTGGTATACAGATGAGCTCATGATGTAAAGCCCAAATCATCACCCCTCCTCCACCGTGCATCACAGTTGGTATGAGGTGTTTTCTACAGAGGTGCCAGCACTTTCTGAGGAATCAAGTACATTTGATTAGCAGCACTTAGCTGCTACTTACCCTCTTAATTCCTATAAAAGCAGTAAGGGTGTGCTTAGTTTTTCCACACACTGCGTTTTGGCTTATTTAATGTTAAATAATAACTCGTTATAATAATGTTGTGTTTTGTTGTTCATTTGAGATTGTATTATAGAGTAAACTTTATTCATATGATTCTACTATTTCTTTTTTACTATTTCTAATGTCTCTTGAATCTGTAGTTAAACTACTCATTTTAGTCCATGAGGTACTGTCATCTTCATACGATGCGAGATTTGAAAGTTTTTACTTTTTCAGAAGGATTCTTGATTGTCTTGTAAATATTCTGATGAGCATATTTGTTACTACTTTTAGCCTTATTGAGTAATCGCCTATACAGTATGCTACATAACTGCAGATGCATATATTTACTAATACTATATTTCAATATTTTTTAAAGTACACAGGCACATTCATTTTTATTCCAAGTCTACCTGCTTTTTTATTACTGGATTGATTCATATATCATAAAATGGTATAAGGAATGAAGGATGTTGGCATGGACTGCATCCTAAATTGTCTTACTTTTATCTGGACTTTGAACGTGTATCAAGGTATTTTAAATGTTTCTTTATTTTCTTATAATTGATCGAGTTTTTTGATGCTTGAAAATAATTGAAATACTTTAAACAGAAAATTGTTTGTTTTATATTTATTTATTTTTAACAGTTGGACTGTTGGATGCGAGAGCTGTTATAAAAAGTCATACCTCTGCAACTGTGCAGCTACTTCTTTTCCGCTTCACTTCCTCTGCTTTGTCAAACTTTTATTATTTTCTGAAAGGCCATTATTGTTGCAGGCCTTAGCTGTGTGCAGTATAGGCAAGCCGGAGGCAGTTTGTAAAATGTCAGCCAACACTCCCGGTTTTCCATCAGGCATTTGATGCTCCTGGAATGTCGTGGCTGCTTCTTGAATATCAGCTTGCCGTCAGCCCTGTCCTCATAACACAACTCCAGTTTCATACCTGGAATTACATCATAACGGCTGAGTGACTGTGTGTGTGTGTGTGTGTGTGTGTGTGTGTGTACATACATGGTGTA